TTAAGTGTTTTACTTTTTTTTTTTTAACGGCCCACAAATACGCTTGAAATTCCATCATAAGATGTTAGTTATTGCTGTTATCTTAGATGTTAGTTATTGCTGTTATCTTAGATGTTAATTATTACTGTCATCATAAGATGTTAGTTATTGCTGTTAACTTTAGGCCCCAAAATCGGACACACTACGCTTGGGCTGCCTGTGGTTCTTGGTATTGAACTGATCTTCGTTCAAGATTCCACATTTTTCAACTTAGCTTCTTTCTTCAAAGGTTTTATCGGTTGTTGCGATATTTATTTGAAACATACGTGTACTGAGATTTTCCTTGTGAAATATTATTGTCCGTGTTTCTATTTGAACGAACGATTTATTTTCACAGTCGTTCGTTTCTAATCTTTGAAGTGTGCCGGTCAGTTAGTAAAAATCTGAGATTGCAAGAAATCTGCGCCCGCTCGCTTATTGCATCGCAATTTGTGAATAAAAAATCGTTCACGGTGTGTACTTTGCATAGAACAAAATTGAATTAACTTTAAGACGGTTAACTCAGTCAGACAAAAGAAGGGAAACTCAAAAGATGGTCAGTAAATGAACTGACAAAACTTATCAGGGTAGAGAACCTTGTATAAAATATAGTTTTTACTTTTCAACGACAAATTTGAACTCTCGCCACAAAACTGAATTCGAGCGCTCCTGATCCTCTTACAACGAATGAGAAGAAACTTTTCTTCAACACTTATCTCGGCAGTCTGGACCGCACTGAGCCGTCATAGGACTTGAACAAGTAGACCAAATGACAAAGGACCTCCTAATGAAACAAGTCTGATATCAAGCTGTAAAGTGTTGCGTTGTTTTAACTCAACCATTTATTTAAGTACCACTGTAATACACAAGTAGGTGGCGGGAAAGATACTGCACGAGACGATTCACGTTATAGACCACTTTCATAAATGGCTGCAGGATGAATATTCTTTTGTTTAAATTTAAATTAGCCCTACTTGTCTCGTTCTCCAGTACAAAATTCAAAAGAATACATTATCTCAAGCGAGGCTAGTTGGGCTAATTCAAATTTAAACAAAAGGATATTTCTACGGCAGGCATTTATGAAAGTGGTCTATGTGAACAACGCGTGACATTGAAATTGTCGCATTATGTAATCGCACAATCAGATATTGTTACACAAACTATTTTTCCTCTCTAGCATTTGCTATCGGTATTCGTATTATGCTAAAGATGGTCCCATGAATGGAAGTTCTACCAAGCTATGCATTTATACCTATCTTATCCATGATTTTCCTCTGAGTTTTATTTTTCAAAGGTCAATTCAGTCA